GAGAGTGCCTAGATACTACACTACCCCGGTTCTCTAGAGGCATAATTGACGATTGAATCTGTTGAGTGAATTTGGATCGATAGAAAGATCAAACTTAACAAGGAGATAAATGTGTGCACACAGACTCGTTGTTTGGCGCGCCCTGGCATTGTCCACCATACTTGTTTGAGTTCCGCGCTGAAGGTAAATAGGCTGCAGAGCAGCGATTCTCAGCCTGCTAGTCGCGACTCTTTTTGTGTGTGGGTCAAACGTCCCTTTCAAAGGGGTCGGCTAAGACCATCGGATAACACATATTAATTGATGTTATGAAGGTAAACAAATTGTTTTGGGGGTGTCCACAGCCTAAGGGAACTGTATTTAAGGGTCGCGGCGTTAGGAAGTTTGAGTGCTCCTGTTGTAAAGAGGAGCATAGCTCTCGAACAGTCACACAGTTGCCTGCCGTATCAGATGGCTTGTTGACTTTATGTTGTGTCGATGTCGGTCGTTTATAGAATTGTCTGCCATGTCGGGTGTCTTATGGAGAGTTTTCTGCAGTGTCGAGTGTTTTATCCAGAATTGTCTGCCCTGACGGGTGTCTTTTCTAGAGTTGTCTGTCGTGTCAGGTGTCTTATCCAGAGTTGTCTGTCGTGTCAGGTGTCTTATCCAGAGTTGCCTGTCGTGTCAGGTGTCCTATCCTGAGTGTCATTCCCTGTTTGGTGTCTCGTTAAGAAGAATTATGAATAACTCAAGACTCTGAGATATCCATTAACCCCAGGATTGAAGAGGAAACGTTATCCAGCATCAAGACCGTGAGATATTCCTAAACCCCAGGATAGAAGGGGAAACATTATCCAATACTAGGACTGTAAGATTTTCCTAAACCCCTGAATAGAAGAGGAAGCATCACCCAACACTAAGACTGTAAGATATCCCCAAACCCCAGGACAGAAGACGAAACATGATCCAAGACTGTAAGATATCCCTTAACCCCAGGATAGAAGAGGAAACATGGTCCAGGACTGTAAGAAATACCTAAACCCCAGGATAGAAAAGGAAACATGATTCAAGACTTAAGATATCCCTAAACCCCAGAATAGAAGAGGAAGCATCACATAACATCAAGACTGTAAGATATCCCTAAACCCCAGAATAGAAAAGGAAACATGATTCAAGACTTAAGATATCCCTAAACCCCAGGATAGAAGAGGAAGCATCACCAAACGCCAGGACTGTAAGATATCCCTAAACCCCAGGATAGAAGAGGAAACATGATGCAAGACTGTAAGATATCCCTAAACCCCAGGATAGAAGAGGAAACATGATGCAAGACTGTAAGATATCCCTAAACCCCAGGATAGAAGAGGAAACATGATGCAAGACTGTAAGATATCCCTAAACCCCAGGATAGAAGAGGAAACATGATGCAAGACTGTAAGATATCCCTAAACCCCAGAATAGAAAAGGAAACATGATTCAAGACTTAAGATATCCCTAAACCCCAGGATAGAAGAGGAAGCATCACCAAACGCCAGTACTGTAAGATATCCCTAAACCCCAGGATAGAAGAGGAAACATGATGCAAGACTGTGAGATATCCCTAAACCCCAGAATAGAAGAGGAAGCATCACACAACACTAAGACTGTGAGATATCCCTAAACCCCAGGATAGAAGAGGAAGCATCACACAACACCAAGACTGTGAGATATCCCTAAACCCCAGGATAGAAGAGGAAGCATCACACAACACTAAGACTGTAAAATATCCCTTAACCCCTAAATAGAAGAGGAAGCATCACACAACACTAAGACTGTGAGATATCCCTAAACCCCAGAATAGAAGAGGAAGCATCACACAACACTAAGACTGTGAGATATCCCTAAACCCCAGAATAGAAGAGGAAGCATCACACAACACCAAGACTGTGAGATATCCCTAAACCCCAGAATAGAAGAGGAAGCATCACACAACACCAAGACTGTGAGATATCCCTAAACCCCAGGATAGAAGAGGAAGCATCACACAACACCAAGACTGTGAGATATCCCTTAACCCCAGGATAGAAGAGGAAGCATCACACAACACCAAGACTGTGAGATATCCCTTAACCCCAGGATAGAAGAGGAAGCATCACCAAACACCAAGACTGTGAGATATCCCTAAACCCCTGGATAGAAGAGGAAGCATCACACAACACCAAGACTGTGAGATATCCCTAAACCCCAGAATAGAAGAGGAAGCATCACACAACACTAAGACTGTGAGATATCCCTAAACCCCTGGATAGAAGAGGAAGCATCACACAACACCAAGACTGTGAGATATCCCTAAACACCAGGATAGAAGAGGAAGCATCACACAACACTAAGACTGTGAGATATCCCTAAACCCCTGGATAGAAGAGGAAGCATCACACAACACCAAGACTGTAAGATATCCCTAAACCCCAGAATAGAAGAGGAAGCATCACACAACACTAAGACTGTGAGATATCCCTAAACCCCAGAATAGAAGAGGAAGCATCACACAACACTAAGACTGTGAGATATCCCTAAACCCCAGAATAGAAGAGGAAGCATCACACAACACTAAGACTGTAAGATATCCCTAAACCCCAGGATAGAAGAGGAAGCATCACACAACACTAAGACTGTAAGATATCCCTAAACCCCAGGATAGAAGAGGAAGCATCACACAACACCAAGACTGTGAGATATCCCTAAACCCCAGAATAGAAGAGGAAGCATCACACAACACTAAGACTGTGAGATATCCCTAAACCCCAGAATAGAAGAGGAAGCATCACACAACACTAAGACTGTAAGATATCCCTAAACCCCAGAATAGAAGAGGAAGCATCACACAACACCAAGACTGTGAGATATCCCTAAACCCCAGAATAGAAGAGGAAGCATCACACAACACTAAGACTGTGAGATATCCCTAAACCCCAGAATAGAAGAGGAAGCATCACACAACACCAAGACTGTGAGATATCCCTAAACCCCAGAATAGAAGAGGAAGCATCACACAACACCAAGACTGTGAGATATCCCTAAACCCCAGAATAGAAGAGGAAGCATCACACAACACTAAGACTGTGAGATATCCCTAAACCCCAGAATAGAAGAGGAAGCATCACACAACACCAAGACTGTGAGATATCCCTAAACCCCAGAATAGAAGAGGAAGCATCACACAACACTAAGACTGTGAGATATCCCTAAACCCCAGAATAGAAGAGGAAGCATCACACAACACTAAGACTGTGAGATATCCCTAAAACCCCAGAATAGAAGAGGAAGCATCACACAACACCAAGACTGTGAGATATCCCTAAACCCCAGAATAGAAGAGGAAGCATCACACAACACCAAGACTGTGAGATATCCCTAAACCCCAGAATAGAAGAGGAAGCATCACACAACACCAAGACTGTGAGATATCCCTAAACCCCAGAATAGAAGAGGAAGCATCACACAACACCAAGACTGTGAGATATCCCTAAACCCCAGAATAGAAGAGGAAGCATCACACAACACTAAGACTGTGAGATATCCCTAAACCCCAGAATAGAAGAGGAAGCATCACACAACACTAAGACTGTGAGATATCCCTAAACCCCAGAATAGAAGAGGAAGCATCACACAACACTAAGACTGTGAGATATCCCTAAACCCCAGGATAGAAGAGGAAGCATCACACAACACTAAGACTGTGAGATATCCCTAAACCCCAGGATAGAAGAGGAAGCATCACACAACACTAAGACTGTGAGATATCCCTTAACCCCAGGATAGAAGAGGAAGCATCACACAACACTAAGACTGTGAGATATCCCTTAACCCCAGGATAGAAGAGGAAGCATCACACAACACTAAGACTGTGAGATATCCCTAAACCCCAGAATAGAAGAGGAAGCATCACACAACACTAAGACTGTGAGATATCCCTAAACCCCAGAATAGAAGAGGAAGCATCACACAACACTAAGACTGTGAGATATCCCTAAACCCCAGGATAGAAGAGGAAGCATCACACAACACTAAGACTGTGAGATATCCCTAAACCCCAGGATAGAAGAGGAAGCATCACACAACACTAAGACTGTGAGATATCCCTTAACCCCAGGATAGAAGAGGAAGCATCACACAACACTAAGACTGTGAGATATCCCTTAACCCCAGGATAGAAGAGGAAGCATCACACAACACTAAGACTGTGAGATATCCCTTAACCCCAGGATAGAAGAGGAAGCATCACACAACACTAAGACTGTGAGATATCCCTTAACCCCAGGATAGAAGAGGAAGCATCACACAACACTAAGACTGTGAGATATCCCTTAACCCCAGGATAGAAGAGGAAGCATCACACAACACTAAGACTGTGAGATATCCCTTAACCCCAGGATAGAAGAGGAAGCATCACACAACACTAAGACTGTGAGATATCCCTTAACCCCTGGATAGAATAGGAAACATTTATGTGCTTATCCGCTGATGTTGTTTCTGTGGTCAGATGATGTTGTTTCTGTGGTCAGATGATGATGTTTCTGTGGTCAGATGATGTTGTTTCTGTGGTCAGATGATGATGTTTCTGTGTTCAGATAATTATGTTTCTGTGTTAAGCTGATGATGTTTCTGTGTTAAGGTGATGATGTTTCTGTGTTCAGATGATGATGTTTGGATATTCAGCTAATGATGTTTATGTGTTCAGCTAATGATGTTTCTGTGTTCAGCTATGAAGTTTGTATCTACAGTTCACCATGATTTTGTATACAGTCACTGGGGATGTTTTTCTGTACAGCTGATGATGTTTCTGTGTAGAGCCAGTACTGTATCAGTGTGAAGCTAACGATATAATGATGTTTCTGTGTACGCTAAGGTTGTTTCTGTGTACAGCTAATGATATTTGTGTGACAGCTGATGATGTTTCTGTGTACATCTAATGATGTTTCTGTGTACATCTAATGATGTTTCTGTGTACATCTAATGATGTTTCTGATTGTTACCATCCACAGAGTTGCGGCGGTGTGGAGACATTCCTTCTTGGGGTCTACAACCTGGTGAGTTGATTATTCCTTGTTTCTTTTAGTGTCGAGGTGATGCCTGTGTGTGGGGAAATGAGCAGGCTGATAGACTGGCCGGTTCTGCACCACTTGGCGGTGAATTGATGTATACCAAGCTAGATGTTGTGAGGGCCATTTGGGAACGAATGAGCAGTGCGGATGCACAAATAGATCATTACTTTATGAGGAAAATGACGCTGCGATGTGTTACAAGGGGATCTGACCGACGCTCAACACTCAAGGGAAGGGTGAGACGGATATACAATCAGACAGTTACTGATGCCAATGGAATTGGAACTCTTCGCTTGCTGCTAAAGATGGGGACGGAGCGTTATAGGAGTATTCAGTGTGCTCTGATGTCGATTCTTAATTCAACATTCAACATTCATTTAGTTTCGGAGAATGAACGAATCAGTGAATTAAAAATTGACATCACTGCATTCGCGGCATCCCTAAAAGTGCTCTTTTCCCTTTCTTTAGTCACCAACAATGAGATCGCATATTGACTGATTGTGCCAGCTGCAAAAAATAGTTGAAAACCGTCCAGACTCTGTGCTTGCGCAATCTTTTAAGGTACGGATAGTGCCTAGAGCGACGTTTCAGAAGATGAAGCGACGCATTAACACCCATCCGCTTTCTCGGTTTGGTGTCGAATGTAGCCGCTACAGCATTGGGCCGGAAGTTTTGGCAGACTTTCAGAGAATTTCCAGAGGTCGACACCGGTCTGCAGATCACATGTTGAACATGACTCTATTTCTTCGCATTTTCAGTAGTGCACCCTCGATCGTTTGTTAAAGTACATTAGTTTTTTCTACCAGGCGGTGTTGTTTTTTGAAGGCCGATGATTCGGATCCTTGTTTGCGTTTGCTTTTTGTTTTGATGATCTACGATGTCCTGTGATCGCACGTAATTTCATTGACTTTTTAAGTGCCGGTCAGTGCCTATAAGCAGTTCCGCGTTCTTCTTTTTCTTGTTTCCCATTTATAAACTCACGCTAAAATCATGGTTGTTCGTCCTTTTCTAGACTTTGATCTTTTTCCAGGAATTGGAGTCTTGCATGCACATCTGTTTTAGAGATCTGGCTGTTTTATGTGTAGACTGTTGGTTTGTCGCCTCTGAGGCATATGTACTCCGATTCAAAGGAAGCGTCAATTCTCCCTACGTTGGGCAGGTTCTGATTGGGTATTCTTTGATGACAGCGAAGACGCTTAGATAGGTTGTGATCAGTATGAGCCGTGCGCCTGGTGCATCATGATCATAATCATCACAACGTTTCATTCGACACCTGTGCATCCCGAACTGGGTATGATTCCAGTGACTGTACGGGCTGTGAGTGGTATACTGTCACCTGTTACCACGGCGTAGTAACGTGAGGTGTGGTTTTAGGTTTTCCCGCTGCCATGCGATCAAGTACTGCTGTGTGTGAAGCCTTGTCTCTGCCATTAACCACGCCTTCTTACTGCTGTGTCTCCTAGCAACCACGCCTTCTTGCTGCTGTGTCTCCTAGCAACCACGCCTTCCATTACTGCAGTGTCTCCTAGCAACCACGCCTTCCATTACTGCTCTTTCTAAACAAATTTCCCATGTCCAAGCGACCACGCCTTCCATTACTGCTCTTTCTAAACGAATTTTTCGTCTCCCGCCTACCAAATCTTTCTGTTACCCTTCTGTTTAAGCACTTTTTATCGAGAAGTGGAGGAACAGCCAGAACTTTACGTCGGAATTTGCACTAATCGAACACGATGTCGAGAAGAAAAACACATCTCTGGTAATTTAGTAGTTTCGCCTCCCATTACGTCTGTTGCTTAGGCGTTGCGAACGAGCTTCATAATGCCGGGGGCGGGTTTGATCCCAGCTGCAGCCTTGTGCCTTGCATTGGTTTCGACAGTGGTATCGAGAAGCTGATCGTCCAGAAAGCAATGGCAAACTGCTGAACGTAAATTTGCCTAGAAAAACCACAACAGCCAAAAAAAAAAAAATAAGTTGGGGTTGGTTCTGCAATGTCCTGTAAAAGATACGCAACTAACGTTTTAACAATTTATGAGAACCATTGTCTGCCTTTCTCATCTCGATCTTAATCAGACATCTCATGCCAGATGAGTCATTCACTGACCCGCCCCCCCCCCCCCCCCACAAAAAAAGTAGATTATTATGGGCTGGAGAGAAGGATGCACTTTGATGTGACCAAAAGTTTCGGCCGAGGCGAGGCAGACATGCAACCAGACTGCGACTGGCACCATTAGTATTTGAACTCTGCGCTGGCTGCTGAAGATGGGGACGGAGCGAATATGGGAATGACCCCAGTCCTGTGATGTAATTCTTAACCCCACTCAACTTATTCACTTCATAAATTGGTTTTCATAATTACCAAACTGTGTAACTAATCAAGACTTACCATCAGGATTTATATTGGCGCTCAACTCCCTATTCCTGGTGTGTCTATCATGCCAACAAAACTGTTGTCGGCATGTTACAAGTGTCGTTTGCCAGTTGTGTCCGTTATCCTTGTGTGTGAGAGCATCTGCAGGGATTGGACCCTTGAGATTCCATCAGTGAAACGGGATTTTGACATTGATTGACTAGTCTTGACAAGAAATTGCGTTAACTCTTTAGAGTATGTGCACATTGTTCGTGATTAGTTCATAGACAGTTATTATTTTTGGCGCCTTACAGGCTTTCCAGACGATAGTGTTATAAGTTTGCTATAGGGAGGGATGGGAATCCTAGTCCATGGCGATGGCGTGTTGGGAAACATTTTCAGCAGTTAGCGCATGGGATTTCAGGATAATTTTTACTATCGCCTTAATTTTACCAGGTTCTTCTTCTACGCTCAGTGTGAACCTGTTTGCAATCATTTTTTTCTTTTTATTCTCAATCCCTTTCTGATTGTCCCCCTTATGCAGCACGGTCCATTGCATCCTGTTCCATACATCCAGCTCAAAACCTGTATCAGTCATGTCCCGCTTGTATGCAGCTTTATACCATAGTAGAGACCGACCTGACATATCCACCTGTAATTCCTTAAGGATATTGCTTGAAGAGTCATTCTTCGAGTATGCCCTGTCTGAGCCTTCAAAGATTGAGCATTCGGGTAATCGTTTGGACATTTACTTTCTGCTCTTTCCAATATCTACTGTGATCTTGTTTTGCCACTTAATACCAAACTTGTTCGTAGACGTCATAAATTAAATATACTTAGTTGCGTCTCTTGGTACTAATTTGTTCAAAGATTGTACTGTTTGACTCATCCATCGCTGATAGTTGTTTTACAATTACTCATTACACTTAAATTATTAGTTTATTTCATTGTCCCTTGTGTTAGTGTGGTAACTTTTTCGGACTCCGACACGTTTGTTTGAAAGTATAACATCCGAAATAGAGTTTAATTAACTGATGGATCCCTGAGTGTGTAGCGGCACCCCTTGGGATGGGGGTGTGTGACGTGTAGCATGTCGGGGCAAACTAATGATAATTGAATGAAGCCTGTGCCTTCACTGAAGTGGGCGAAGGGTTGATGAAAACCATTCGATGGCTGTGTTGAGGAATGCGCAGGCTCCCATTTGTGACGTGCTACTTCCATTTGCTACGTGTGCCATGCTAGGAAACAGCCGTACACAGGCGCAGGCTCCCATTTGTGACGTGCTACTTCCATTTGCTACGTGTGCCATGCTAGGAAACAGCCGTACACAGGCGCAGGCTCCCATTTGTGACGTGCTACTTCCATTTGCTACCTGTGCCATGCTAGGAAACAGCCGTACACAGGCGCAGGCTCCCATTTGTGACGTGCTACTTCCATTTGCTACCTGTGCCATGCTAGGAAACAGCCGTACACAGGCGCAGGCTCCCATTTGTGACGTGCTACTTCCATTTGCTACCTGTGCCATGCTAGGAAACAGCCGTACACAGGCGCAGGCTCCCATTTGTGACGTGCTACTTTCATTTGCTACCTGTGCCATGCTAGGAAACAGCCGTACACAGGCGCAGGCTCCCATTTGTGACGTGCTACTTTCATTTGCTACCTGTGCCATGCTAGGAAACAGCCGTCAACAGGCGAAGGACCCCGTTTGTGACGTGCTACTTCCATTTGCTACGTGTGCCATGCTAGGAAACAGCCGTACACAGGCGAAGGACCCCGTTTGTGACGTGCTACTTCCATTTGCTACGTGTGCCATGCTAGGAAACAGCCGTCAACAGGCGAAGGACCCCGTTTGAGACGTGCACGCAAATGCGTAACAATAATAGACTTCCTCTGATATGTTCAAAGGCAGTTGAATCAGTGAAGTGTACAAACTCACAGTTTAAAGGTACAAGTCAACGTGACTGGCACATAACATAATACATTCTACAAGCCAAGTCTAGGGAATAGTCATAGATGATTATAGTCGTAAATAGTGGTCGAGGACCAACAGGCAATATCTAGAACTCCCGACGAGACATGACAACCGTAACGGAAACAGTCAACTCCAAGGTGTCCAAATAAATCAAATGACGAAGACCACGTATGCAGTATCAACACTGGTGTAGTAGGAACACTGTGATCCGAACGAAAATGTGCAATCACGTGATATGTTGACAAGACTCATCTAAACACTCCGATCACTCGCTAGCCTACTCACACTCGCATTGAAACCTTGAAATCCATATTCCATATCGGATTCGTTATCAACTTACATTAGGTCAACGGTTCGACCTTAAACATTGGCGGTTTCTTTAGCAAGTCAGTATGCAGTCTGAATAACACGACTCGGCATTTTTTTCAGTATTATCCAGCAGTCCCGTCCCGCTAAACCAAAATTTTCATAATAAATGATCATGCTTACTGCACACATGGCAGTAACGCCCAACACACGGGCTAAACTTCTCAGTGAGATCCCAGGGTAAACTTGCTCTTTGGAATGAGCCACTCAAGGACAGCAACGTCCGTCTCCTTCGACTTCTCGACTGCGAATCTCTTTAAGATTCCAATCCCCTTAACAATAGGTAACGCTTATGACGTC